TGCAGGTGTCCACCCCTGGGACAGCAAACTGGGAGTAAAAATATAAATTATAATGAAAAGTTGAGATCAGTTTTTTACTTTGTGTGTACTGCCCTCTCCTGCCTGTGTTATTGAGATGTGTTACTGCAGGTGATCTGACTTTTTTATTCTCTCTGATGACGGGCCACTGAATTATGGTTTGCAATACAAGTTGAATATTTGAACTCATGTTTTGTAGAATCACTGGGAAACACCAGAAGACTTGCACAAATGTAACCAATTCCTTTTTAAAGGGACCTGAGTGGTTGTATCTATAAAGGCCCTCTTTGTGCTGGGTGAGCCCTACAGCCCAGATATTACCTGCTTGACCCTGATCTTTGTGTGTTGCGATCACTAACAGCGATTCCTCACGTGGAAATTCCCACGTGGTTTGGGTGGGCTAGACTCAAACAGGGTGCCCTCAGCCTCTGTCTCTCTCCAGGGGACACCTTGGACACCTGAGAACTTCCTTCCAGTTAGGGGTGGACCGCTGACTCCACTAGGTGGGGCTAACTCACATTGAGGTAGCACAATGCTCCTCACCATTCTATATTGTACATTAGGAGCATCGTGCTACTTCAATGTGAGTTAGCGCCACCTGGTGGAGTCAGAGGTCAAGGCCCCACCAAGTGGCACTTTATGTTTAAGGAGCAAATATGCCAGGAATAGCTTGTGCCAAAATAGAGGGGTTATAAAAATCAAAGACATCGGCTGCTCCAAATTAAAGAAGCACATGTTTCTGATATAAAATTGTCATTGTGTTGACATCTTTTCTGATGTGCCCGTGATGTTTGCCAATCGGAATCGTGTGCTTTGCTGGAATTCCAGGTGAACGGAGAGACGGTCAACCTCCCGTTCCGTGCCGAGGGCGGGGGTGTGGAGGCGTACTACACGGGGATGTACCGGGTGGTGGTGCAGACCGATTTTGGCGTTGCCGTGGAGGTCGACTGGCCTCACCTGGTGCGGGTGACTGTGCCGTCCACCTACAGCGGAGAGCTGGGTGGCCTCTGTGGGAACCTGAACGGAGACATGTGGGATGAGCTCCAGACGCCCCAGGGGCGGCGCGTGAACAGCTCCCAGGAGTTCGGCGACAGCTGGCGGGACGGGAGCCTGTCGGCCCACTGCCACGACAGCGCCGGCCCCGCGCCCCGTGACCTCGACCTCGGCCCGTACCGCTCGCCCCAGCACTGCGGGATCATGGCGGACCCCAGCGGGCCCTTCCGCCTGTGCCAGGCCGAGCTGGACCCCATGGAGCGAGTGCGCGAGTGCGCGGAGGAGATGGCGCTGCGCGGAGGCCAGCCCGCGGCTCTCTGTGAGGCGCTGCGGAACTACGCCCTGCTCTGCCAGCAGAGCCGCCTCCCCATCTTCTCCTGGAGGAACCTCACCGGCTGTGGTCAGTGCCCCTCTCTGTCAGCAGAGTGAAAACAAGCCAGGAGAGAGAACGTGGTGCTTTGGTATTTTATATTGAAGCGCTGCAAAGCGACAAACAGATCTCTTCTACACAATTGTCCATAGTCTAGCAATTTGGTTTTAACATGGGTTTAGAGCGTGTACCTAATCAACACAATCGTCTGTTTGAGTAACCTAGCCTTCTAAGTAATGTACGTCTTAACACTGATTATCACATAAAACATTATAAGGAAACTGGCCAGTTGCACAATGTCTGGGGTTGTGAATTCATTCAAAAGGGCTCCGGGTTTCTTATCTTGTTTTATAGTGCACTTTTGTTGGCAATACAGCTGAGTGCCTATTGGTGATGTCTGTCTAACAGCGATCACTAACAGCGATTCCTCTTCTCTCTGTTGGACAGAACTGGACTGTCCTGATCACAGCAGCTACCAGCTGTGCGGAACCGCCTGCCCAGCCACCTGCCCTGGGCTCACCTTCCAGTTTCAGTGCCGCTCTCCCTGCCAGGAGGGGTGCCAATGCGATTTCGGGCACGTGATGAGTGATGGGAAATGTGTGCTGCCGGTTGAATGTGGGTGCGAGTACCAGGGACGGTACTATCAGGGGGGGCAGAGTTTCTGGGAGGGCAACGGCTGCCATTCCTACTGCACTTGCAACGGCACGACGGGACGCGTCTCCTGTGCACCTGCCTCCTGTGGTCTCCTGGAGTCCTGCCGGGTATCAGAGGGCATCTACGGGTGTCACCCCAACCCTCACGGCATGTGCATCGCTGCAGGAGACCCCCACTACCTCACCTTCGATGGCCGCCGCTTCGATTACCAGGGGACGTGCGATTATGTGCTTGCACAGCTCTGCAGCGCCACCAATGACCTGGAGGACTTCAGCATCGAGGCACGGAATGAGGGTTCGCCAGTGTCCTTCACAGCTGAGGTCTTTGTGCATGTGTACGGGCACCACGTGCACATCTCCCGGGACAGACATGGAATAGTAGAGGTAAGAAAATGCTTCCGTTTGCTTAACAAGCCCTTCAAAGAATTTGACAGGAGGCTGTGGCAGACTCAGCAGAACCTGTCTCTAGGATCAGCAACGGTTCTCGTAAATGTCCTGTTCGGATTGTCGTAAGGGTTGAGCTCTGTTCTAGGAGGCAGTTTCCTAACAAGGTAGTTTATGGTTGCAGTGCCCTGATTAAGCAGTATCTTGCAAACAAGTCTCCAAAACTTTGTTGCCACTTCTCTGTGGATCTGTCTGCACAGGTGGATGGCCAGACCCACAGTCTCCCAGTGCTCCTGCATGAGGGTCCCTTGTCCATCTACCAGAGTGGGATTCACACAGTCCTCACCACCCGTTTCGGACTGACCGTCACCTATGATGGGAGCAGCGTTCTCGCCATCTCCCTGCCACCGAGTTACCGGGGCCAGACCTGCGGGCTGTGTGGGAACTTCAACGGGCTGCCCAGCGACGACTTCTCTGCCCGCTCGGGACACCTGATGCCAACGGTCACAGAGTTCGCCCGGTCCTGGACCTCCGATGCCAACGGCAACTGCTCTTATGGCTGCGGCGACTCCTGCCCGACTTGCCACCAAGACTTCATCGCCCGCAGCCAATGTGGCATCCTGCGCTCCCCTGAGGGTCCCTTCAGCTTCTGCCACTCCCGGGTCGACCCGGATCCTTACTTCAACAGCTGTGTCTACGACGTCTGCGTCCTGCCCAGGGGGGGGGACTCCGTCCTGTGCCAAGCCATCCAGGCCTACATGGCCGCCTGCTATGCCGCCAACTCCAGAGTGTACCCCTGGAGAGATCTAATGCCATGCGGTAAGATTCTGGCCCGTGCCCATGGAGTTTGCCACGTCTTTCCCTCGTGCCCAGAACTGATGTGTCAACAAAGCTGCAGTGTTGCCTTCCTGTTCCCTCCGCAGAGATGCACTGTCCTGCCCACAGTCACTACGAGATCTGTGGCAACGAGTGTGGAAAGACCTGTGCCGGCGCCATCGACCCATCCTGTGACCGGACCTGCTCTGAGGGTTGCTTCTGTGATGAAGGGTACTTCAGGGATGGCGATCGGTGTGTCCCGCGGGAGAAGTGTGGCTGCCTATATAATGGGTTTTATTACAGAGTAAGCAAATCATACATGCATCCATTCACAACGATGTGCAAGGACCATTAACGCAACACGGAGAGAGTGAGAAGTTTTGTTGCCATGAGAGATCATAGACATTGCTCTCTCTCATGTTTCCCAGACTGGAGAGGTCTTCTGGAACTCCAACTGTACCCAGCGCTGTTCGTGCAGAACCTCCAACAACGTGTTCTGTGTGCCCGGCGACTGTACCCCCACCCAGCAGTGTGGCATCCGGGATGGGCGCCAGGGCTGCTTTGACCCCATGACCACCTGCACGGTCACGGGCGATCCACACTACCTCACCTTCGATGGGGCTGTGGCGCACTTCCAGGGCACCTGCTCCTATGAGATTGCCAAGTCCTGCCACAGCGACGTAGGGGGTGTGTCTTTCCTGGTGGCGGCAGAGAACCGCAACCGCGGCAACAATGATGTGTCGTTCGTGTCTGCTGTGGACATCAGGCTGTCGCACTATGGCCAAATGACCCACATCTCTATCGGGCAGAGTGGCTCTGTGCAGGCAAGTTGGTGGCAGGCCTCTGTGGACTAAAGCACTAAAACACCCCAGTCTTGCAAACCAGTACGATTCATGGTTTTCTGTCTTTCCTCCCGAAAGGTTAACAGCATGGCCGTCTCCCTCCCTGCCAGCGTCCATTCTGTAGCCACAGTAACGCAGGAGCACAGCTTCGTGGTGGTGAACGCCAGCAATGGCCTGCAGGTGCGCTTCGATGGTAGGGGCACCCTGTTCGTGCGGCTCAGCCAGGAGCACCGGGACTCCGTGTGTGGCATGTGCGGGAATTTCAACGGAAACCCAGAAGACGACAAAGTGCTGCCCAATGGGAGCCCTGCAGGAAGCGATGCTGCGTTTGGGACTGGCTGGCAGTACAGAGTCACCACTGAAGGGTAAGTGCACCACACAGGATAGGGGTGATTGGGGATTCCCTGTCCATCCATCGTCCTGATGTATCATACTGGAACGTCGACACTCCCGTTAATCCAGCAGTGGATGACTGCATGATGCTCCCGATTTCTGGCTGCCTGATGCTATAATAATCTATTCCTGCCGCCCCACTGGGCAAAACCCCATGCAGGCTCATCCAGATTTGTCCTGCTGGAACGCTGACAACTCCGTCACTCCTTTCCCTCCTTCTCCCACAGCTGTGATGCCAACGTGGCAGGAGATCGGGATGCACAGCAGGCCTGCAGGTTCACGCAGGAGTACGAGCTCTGCAGCATCATCACCAACTCCACGGGCCCCTTCGCCCAGTGCCACCTCCACGTGGACCCCGAGCCCTTCTTCACCGCCTGCCTGTTCGACCTGTGCCAGTACAGTCCCGCCGGTGGGACCCTTTGTGCCGCCGTGGGCGCCTACGAGGCTGCCTGCAGTCTGCTGGCAGTGCACGTCCCTGAATGGCGGCCCAGCGTGCTCTGTCGTGAGTCAGACCCCGTCTGCCGTTTCAGAGGCACCTCGTCAGTTTGCTCGGTTTTAAAGGCAGATGCAAGGCAAAGGTGTCATCAGAGTGCTGTAACAGAGCAAGTGTTACTCTGAGGAGAGTTTGCATGGAGGTGGTGTGTAGGGAGGCATATAAAGGTTATATGTTCACTGGAGAGATCAGGGACAGTGTGAGCATGTGGGTTAAATACATATATTTGCATGTGCAAACCAGGTAACATCTTTTTCTGCAACCGCATGGCTTTTGGAAACTGCTTGGCATTTCTTATCACCGTAAACATACAGTCAGCCTTGTTCTTGTTCATGCATCTCTGTTTTAAGTACAGTAGGCAAGATGAGTGGCTCTGGCATGCCCTTTGACCCTGTGCAAGACAAAGCACAGAAAACTGAACAGGAGAAACATTCTGGCATTTCCTTTCTCAGGAATCACATACATACATACAACAGTGAAATGTTGTGATCCCAGCTCTGGGATGTGGGTTACGGCAATGGCCGAAGGGGGTTGTTCGGCGTTTCTCATGTCGACAAAGTGCACCTGCTGACCTCTCACCCTGTGTCTGTCTTCCAGCGGAGAGCGACCCCTGCCGGTCCCTGGAGTGCACGGACAGGGAGTGGTGCGGAGAGAGCAATGGGATCTACGGTTGCCACTGCTACGAGCAGGGAAGCTTCTCGGAAAACAACTACGGTATGACTCCTCTGACAACTCCCCGGGCCAGGGTTTTCCGCAGTCTGAGGCATCCCATGTGGGAGAGATTCCGTTTGACTTCCAGGCCTTAAGAAGGTGCAGACGGTTGAGCTCCATGCCACAGTAGGAATGCAAGTCGACGAGGACAGCTGTTGGTCAGTTAACTTCTTGGTTCAAAAGCTGAGACTTTGAACTTAGTTTCCCTTGTTAGTTCTTCTATAGGAAGTGCTTACATGTTTGTCTGGCAGTAAGTGCTAACAATCAGTATATTATGTATTATGGTACTTTGAATGAACAGGAGGTATGTTTTGTGTCACAGATCTGGGAAATCCACAGGATGCCTTTGAAATTTAGGTTATATGGTACCATAAGCAACAGGTCCCAATCCTCTCAACCTGAAGCCTTGTGTTTTGCATTTAGGATTATAAGAGATGCTTTTGCTTATGATTTTTGGCGAGGAAATGAGGGTATTTGAATTGTGCCTGTAGCAGAGGTTTTGCCTGCTATCTGTTGGGCTGAATTGTGTGAAGAGGGGGAGTGATTGGAAGTGATTGGAGTGATTTACACACCGGCAATAGTGTAGGAATGTGGGTGGAAAGGATTCATCCTCCAAACCTCATAATGACGTCATCACTCAACTGCCCTGCTGGGCTGGGGTGTGTTTCCCGGGCTCCTCGGAGCAAAGGTGATTTAAGGTGTGGAAGTAGAACTGTGGTTTTTATTTTATGACTGACACCAGAGTTACTAAATTGGCTTCACTGGAGCCAGTCAAACTTATTTTGAATGTATCAAGCCCAGTAGCACTAGGTTAGGGTTTACTGAACAGGGCATTAGGTGGGAGCACTCTGACCTTATTGCCGATCTGCTGCAGACTACCAGGAGACTTGTGTGAGCAGCTCGGCCACCATGTCGCTGTCCCGCTGCCAGCTGTTCGACGACGGGTTCCCGCCTCACATCCTGCACCTGAACGACGAGAACTGCACCGGCACTGTGCGCAACGGGCGGCTGGTGTTCCACTTCGACAATGACAACCACCTGTGCGGCACCAGCCTCAGGGTGGGCATCTGGCCTTCTGCTGCGTCTCTCGCCCCTGTGAACGGGACCTCTTGCGCTGATGTTATGCCCTACTGCACACAGTAACTGCAGAGGTGTGCTGACTGCCACCCATAGCAGTGAGCCCAGCACCTCACTGTAAAACAAAGGGTTCAAATCCGTGTAAAACATCAGGCTTTGGCCCTCAGTGTTCCTTGACATAGTTCTACAAAGCAGTTCAGCAGCCTCAGTAAAGGTCAAGAATGAAGTATTTAATTTGAAAATGTTTTAAAAAGCCAGACTCTGATCTTCAACATCTGCAGGAAATTGTTTGATCATATTTTAAACTTATTTAAGTTTGACAGCATTTAGGTTTGACATGTAAGACTCCTGCTGCACAGGACTTGACTTCCTTGTGCACTTGTGACCGTGCTGGTGAAGCTGTTCACATCCATCTTTGCAGATTCCCTTCACACTAAGGCAGAGAGTTCACCTAGGGTGTGTAAAAGGCTGCTGCTTATAAGGCAGGTTATAATGCACAACTCTGCTGTACAGAAGGGATGTTTGTGTTTTCCAGCTTCGGTTGTTGTCCTTGATTGTGCCAAGAACCTTCCCTGGGTGGATCCTTGTTAACTGATCCCTGCATCTCTGCTCTTCTCTATGTTTGCTGTTTCCCGTCCCTCCCACTGCAGACCAACCTCACTCACTTCATCTACGAGAACTCCATCCAGGGGGCCATCGACCCCCACGACGGGCTCATCACCCGTGAGAAGCGGCTCAGTCTGCAGTTCAGCTGCGAGTATCCACTCTCCATCAGCGAGTCCATGGCCATCGGCATCAACCCACTGGAAAGGTCAGAGGGCATGGGGCACAGGTCATGGTGCCTGCATACACTTTGGCACAGGAACCTGTCTACTCTAGGCCTCGCAGGCCCTTTGCTTTGAATTTCCCTCGATTTTCTTAATTACCTTAAGGGGTCTTTGTTTGCTAAAACTGATTATTTTAACCTTGTTTCCTTGACAAACTGAAGATTTACAGAGATCTGTCAATTGCATTGAACTAGAATGAAATTTCCTATATACCCATGTCACCAAATAAATTACAAGACATTACCTGATCTAACATTTTGCACAAAGAATGGGTGTCTTGAGTCTGTCCTCCTAGACCCTGTCCATCTGTCTTCACAGCATTGTGAACAAAAAGCTGCCAGTCGGCCTGGGCAGCTTTCGTGTCCGCCTGGTGCCCTATCGCGACAGGCAGTTCCTGCAGCCCTTCACCCAGTCCCCCCTCAACCTGAGGCTGGGCGAGAGGGTCTACATCAGCGTCATCGTCACCGGCGTGGACGAGCGGCAGTTCGCCACTGTCCTGGACACTTGCTGGGCCACTCCAGTCAACAACGCCAGCTACAGTGTCCGGTGGGACCTCATCAAGAACGAGTGAGCAGACGCCCATCAGGGGACCAGGCTGGGAGAGGGGTGACTTGGTGCCTGCTTGGGCACTGCTAGTAGAGACCTTGGAAATGGGTGGAGACAGTGGAGTGCTTTCAGTGCCATGGGGGTTTAAAAGGAAGCATAAATAGTGGAATAAAGTACAGGTCCCGCTCACATCAACTAGCTGTAACTGTTTCACCATAACAGGAAGTAGAATCTTCCAAGGAAATTTCAAATTCTTCTTCACATGGGAATTAAGTCAAAGGACTGACTGGTGAGAAGAGTCTGTTTTACTTTGTTCCTTAGACACATACTGTGAAACTGAATCACAAAACGTGCAAAACAGTTGTCAAGTTTAGGCCTTCAGATTCTTGCACATTTGTTTTAGGAGATTTCCAGTCCAGAATTGTCAGCTGATGTAGTCGGTGTAGACTGACCGGAACCATGAGGAAAACCAGCGATCAGCTGGCTGTGGTGTTCATCAGCCAGCAGGTGGCGCATTTTCCTTGTGTTCCAATGACTGCAGAAGCTCAAACCCATTAACTTGAGACAGCTGTACACAGGCTTGCTGAGGTACGAACTTGAATGGCCGCTGACTGACCTGTGCCCCGCTGTCCTAGGTGCCCCAACCCTGAGGACAAAACCGTGGAGATCATCCAGAACGGAGAGTCCACCGTCAGCCGCTTCTCCTTCCAGATGTTCCAGTTCACCAGGGAGTCCTCCATGCTGTTCATCCACTGCCAGGTCCACCTGTGCCTGACCCAGCAGAGCTCCTGCGCCACGGTGAGCTCCCCTGGCTACTGACCTGCTTGGCAAGAGCAGCATTAGGTGCTCAGAAGCCATTAGTGGTGAAACACTTCCTTGTGAAAGAGGGTCTCCTCTTGAGGCCAAAGTTCATGAGACCCCTAGAGAACAGGATGACCTTAGTCCAAGCATATTGTAGATGCTAATGCAAGGAAGTGTCCCTGTCTTCTGGTACCACTGTGCTCTGGTGTTGTATCAGGTTTAGTTGTTTTACATAGCTTGAGGGGATGGAAATCAGAGGGTTGCGAGTTTGCGTCAGTGGTATGAATACTCTTGTAGTGACCCTGCTCTTTTGTTTCAGCGCTGCTACTCGGGATACCACCGCAGAGTGGGCAGGTCTGCCGACTTCTACACCAGCACCGATATCTCCGTCGGGCCTCTGA